CATGAAAACGCTCCTATTTCCACCGTCCGTGAGTATCTACTTTACACCATCCAGTGACACACACGCCCCACATGCCTCGTTAACCACTCCCTTAATTGGACCGTCTTGTTAGCTGACTGTCCAAGTTAATTTGTTTGAAGTTTTTCATCAGCAACTGNGTTAACCACTCCCTTAATTGGACCGTCTCGTTAGCTGACTGTCCAAGTTAATTTGTTTGAAGTTTTTCATCAGCAACTGCATCTGTTCTTAATTTTTCCTTCACTATGATTAGCCATCTGTTCTGTTACAGTTCATTTTAAAGATTTTTTCACATAATTAAATTGTCATTTTCTACTTCAAAAGAGAAATCTGAGAGCTTAGTAAAAGAAACAATAACAGCCCTTTTTTCTCTTGCTTATGTTTGTACATTTATCAGAGTCCATGATATGAGCATTTTTCGGATGTCTCTGGCATTGCACTTGAAGGAGGAGCTCTTGGTGGCGTTTGGGGAGATGTACCTTGGTATAGACATTGTCCCATCACCCCATTAGCCCCCAGACTCTATTATCATTGAAACCATGAATTAGTTTTCAGACTCTTAATGTTGGAGAAACCCCCTCAGGCAGGTTTAAGCCAGAGAGCTCCCAACTCTGTTCTTTTTTTCAAGATTGGTTTGGCTATTGCCAGTCCCTTGTATTTTCATAAGAATATTAGAATCAGCTTGTCATTTTCTGCAAAAATGTCAGCTGGTATTTTAATAGGAATTATACTGAATCTCTAGACCAGTTTAGAGAATATTTCCATCTTAACATTAAGTCTTTCGATCCACATATAGGACGTCTTTCCATTTATTTAGGTCGTCTTGAATTTCTTTCAATGACTTTTGGTAGTTTTCAGCATATAAGCTGTGCACTTCTCTCATTACATTTATTCATAAACATCTTTTTTTCTTTTTGATGCTATGGTATATTATTTCCTTAATTTCAGTTTTGGATAGTTCATTGTTATCGTATAAGAAGTACACCTGAATTTTGTATATTGATCTTGTATCTTGCAACTTGCTGAACTTTTTTTTCGTTCTAATAATTTTTTTGTGTGTTACTTGGAATTTTCTCTATACAAGATCATACGACCTGCGACTTGGGATGCTTTTACGTCTTCCCTTCCCATCTGAATGACTTCTTCTTTTCCGTGCCTAGTTTCCCTGGCTAAATCTTCCACAGTGTCGACTGGAAGGAGTAAGAGCAGACGCCCTCAGCTTGTTGAAAGCTTTCAGTCTTTCACCATCAAGTATGATGTTAACTGTGGGTTTTACACCCTTTCCTGGGTTGAAATTCTCCTCTATTCCTAGATTCTTGAGCGTTTTATGATGAAAAGGCGTTAGATTTTGTCAAGTGACTTTTTTGCCTCAGTGGACATGCCTGCAGTTTTGTCCTTTAGTCTGTTACCTTGGTCTGTTGGACTGATTGAACTTCATACGTTGCACCAAGCTTGCAGTCCTGTGATAAGTCCTACTTGGTCAAGGTGTATAATCATTTTTTATACGTTGTTCGATGCAGTTTGCCAGAATTTTATTAAGGATTTTTGCATCTATATGCTTAAGGGGTATTAGTCTACAGTTTTCTCTTGGTGTCTGGCTTGGATGTCAGTGTAACAGCGGCCTCGTAGAGAGCGCTTGGAAATGTTCCTCCTTTCTCTGGGAAGAGTTTGTGAAGGATTCATGCTGATTCTTTAAACATTTGGTAGAAATCACCATGAAGCCATCTGGCCCTGGCCTTACTTTAAAGGAAGTTCTTTTTATTACTATGTCAATCTCTTATTATAAATCTACTCAGCTTTTTAGTCAGCTTTGGTAGTTTCTGTCTGTAGATTTTCATCTGTTTCACCTGGGTCATCTGATTGTGAAGACACACTTGTTCACCATATTCCTTAATAATTCTCTTTATTTCTGTGAGGTTCATGGTAATGGCCCTCTTTCATTCATGGCTTTAGTAATCTGAGTCTTTCCTCTTTTTTGCTTGGTCATTTCAGCTAAAGGTTTGTCAATTGTGTTGATCTTTTAAAACAATCAAATTTTAGTTTCATTGGTTCTCTCTTTTTTTAAAAAAATTTTTATTTCATTTATTTCTACTTTAATCTTAATGATTTCCTCCTTTCTGCTTTCTTGGGATTTAATTTGCTCTACTATTTTTGTTGCTTAAGAAGTTTAGGTCACTGATTTAAGACCTTTAATATAGTCATTTACAGCTATAAAGGTCTAAGCACTGCTTTTATTGCAGCCCACAGGTTTTGGTATGTGGTATTTTCATTTTCATTCATCTCAAAGTATCTTCTAATTTCCCTTGGTATTTCTTCTTTGACCCATTGGTCATTTAGGAGTGTGTTATTTAACTTCCACATATTTGTGAATCTTCCAGTTTTCCCTCTGTTATCAAGTTCTAATTTCTTTCCATTGTGGAATGATTGTAGAACATACTTGGCATGATTTAAATCCTTTTAAATTTATTGGTGCTTGTTTTATGATGTAGCATATGATTATCCTGGAGAGTGTCCCATGTGAATTTGAGCTGAATGTGCATTCTTCTTGAACGTGTATATTAATGTTTTCCATCTGATTTGGGCAGTTTTTGAATATGAGTTCTTCAAATAATCTCCCTTCCCCTTCTTCTCTCCTCTCTGTCTGGCACTCTCCTTGTCCCTACATTGGCATATGTGATGGTGTGCCACAGGTCTCTAAGACACAGTCATTTTTCTTTATTCTTTTTTCTTTCTGTTCCTGAGACTATATAATCTCATTGACCTACTTCACGGCCATTGATATGTTTCTTCTTCCTGCTCAAATCTGCTGTTGGGCCTATCTAGTGAATTTTTCACTTTAGTGATTGTACTTCTTAATTCCAGAATTTCTTTTGGCTCTTTTTATACTGTTTATTTCTTTATTCTGATATTCTGTGGTGAGAAATTATTCTCATACTTTAGTTTTTTAGACATTTAAAAAACTTTGTGCATATTTTAAAATAGCTGATTTAAAGTCTTTGTCTAGTAAATCCAATGTCTAGAATTCCTCAGAGATAGTTTCTACTGACTGCTTTTTTCCTGTGTATGGGCCATACTTTCTTGTTTCTTTGTATGTCTCCCAATTTGTTGTTGTTATTGTTGTTGAAAACTGGGCATCTAAAATAATATAATTTGACAACTCTAGAAAATATATTCTTCTCCCTTCCCAGGTCTGCTTATTGTTACTGTTAATTGCTGTTTTTGTTTAGTGACTTTTCTCAAATAATTCTGTAAAATCTGTATTTTTTGTTGTGTGTGGCCACTGAAATATCTGCTAGCTTAGCCTAAGGTCATCTAATGATTGCACAGAGATTGCCTTAGATGCCTGGACCCAATAAGTCTCCCAGTCTTCTCTGATGGGTTATGTGTGTTTGGGGACACACCTTCAACACTCAACCAGGCAGTTTACAACTCTACCTTAGCCTTCACTTCTTGATTGTTCAGAGCCTCAACGTTAAGTAGAGGTGAAAGCTTAGAGAATTCTCAAGTCTTTCCTGAGCATGCAAATAACCCTTGGCTCATCCCTATGCATGCTTGTGGTTTTCAGATTCCCAGAAATATGTATGAGCTTTGCAAAGCCCTCTATAGATATCACATCCCCCAGCTTTTATTGTGAACTTTTTAGTCCACTTACTGTTTGTCCTGTTACCTATCACCTTAGGCAGTGTGATGCGCAATAATTGCCTCTGATTGTTTTCAACAAATGCCCCAAGGAAAAGGCTAGTCACATTGGCTGAGCTCTGATTCCAGCAAAAATAAGGACACCCTTGGAAGTGGGATCTTTCAAGAATGCACCAGACAGGTCAAATACTGCTCATTCTCTGGGAATGGACTTAGGAGCTCCATACCTTTCCTGCACCCTCTGGTGGGGTGCCAGGCTGCTAGTTTTCAAGGCTTCTCCACAGCTGGTGAGAGGAATGGAAATAGGGCAAGTTAAAACTCCACAAAGCTCACTGTTCTTACTGAGATCCCATCTGTTTTCTTAAGTAAACACTCCCTGGATTGCTACAAGCCTTCAGTTAATTTCCCAAGTTCTGAAAAAGGTTGATTCTGACCACTTTTGCCAGTGTTTTATCTCTACAGAGCAGAGAATTTTCATAGGTCCTCCCTCCACTCTTTCAGTGGCATCACCCACAGCTGATTGTTGAGCCTGCATATGCACACATACTCAGTGGCTCATTAAGAACACTATGCTTGTACTTGGTGGTTTATGGGGGCCACTTTTCCTTGGTTGAATTATTTGTGGATTCCTTTGGTAGGAGCAGGCAAGGTCATACCTACCAGCCAGGACACCCACATTTTAGTTTTACATCTACCTGGGGGTGAGTTTGTGACCTTGGGGCAAAGGATCACCAGCTGAGATTTCCAGATCTGGGCTCTCCCTTTCCATGAGGGAGAGATTTATATATATTGTATTACATCATTCTTGCAACAACCAAGAAAGAGGTAATGTTCCCATTTAACAGATGAAGAAACTACTCAATGCAAAGAATTCAGCACCGTGCCTGCCACACATAGCAAATACTTAATACATTGATTACTGTGTTGTTGGTACTACAAATGTGATTATCAGAGGACTAAGTAGGCTTGATGGGATTTCTCCAGGCCATTTGAAGGCCAGCCCGGATCTGTCTGATTCCTAAGCCCATCCATTTTCCGCATCCCCATTCCTCCTCCCCTGGACAAGTCTATTCCTGTTCTGGGTCTCACTTTCCTTACTCTGAAGGATTTGGACTGACTGAAGTTATTCAATCAACAAACACTTATTGAATTGTGTTGCTAAGATCACTTTTAGGGTGACATCATGGAGGTATGTGATTCTGTGAGATCAGTTGCTCGGAGTCACATTGGTAGCATTCTCTTGTTTGGCTTGAAAAAATAAACTGACAGGTAGACTGACAGGTGTGTAACCCAGTGTGTATTTCTCTCCCCATCCCTTCTGGCTCTGTCCCATCCCCCTGCAGCGACAAGAGGGGACAAAGCCAAGTGGATGTTCACCTGGCCACTCATCTTCCTCCTGTGCATCACCATCCCCAACTGCAGCAAGCCTCGCTGGGAGAAGTTCTTCATGGTCACCTTCATCACTGCCACACTGTGGATTGCTGTCTTCTCCTACCTAATGGTGTGGCTGGTGAGTGGTGGGAGCAAGGTGGCCTGGACAGGCAGCCCCTGCCCAGCACCTGCCAGAGGTGGGAGAGTGACCTCAGGCACTGCTGTGTCATCTTTGGCAAGTTACCTGCCTCCCTGACCTTGGCTTATTTTTCAGTAAGAAGGGGTATTGGCAGAGGCGCATGCACTGAGCTATGCCCCAGGTACCCAGAGAGTACAGTGTGGCACTTGCATGCAAGGCGAGCATGGGGGATGGAGGTGACACCTCACACCTGGCAGGATGGGCAGAGTAATAGGGTGGGGGCGGCATGGACCGGGAGTCAAGGACTGGGCCTGATACCTTGAAGATGTCTCTGTGAAGAGCTCTAGAGGGCTGATCCCTAGGCCCCCATCCTTTCCAGGGTGCCAGGGGAATGTGAGGGAGACTGGAGTCAGTGGGAGGTGAACGCAAGCAGCCCAGCCCTCTGTGCCCCTTGCCAAGGGATGTTCCTCTCCCCTTTCTATGTTCAGGCACATGCATAAACTGTATGTAAATTATTTCAGTCCTCATAACAGCCATTTTTATTACGCTCATTTTACAGATGAGGAAACTGAGACATGGAGATTGAGTAATTTGCCCAGTTAGTTGCACAGTTAGCATCTGTTACACAATTAGTGACATCATGAGTGAGTCCTAGGTTGGCATGAGAGCCCTGGCCTACTGTTCCCGAGTCCACAATCTCAACCGCTATTCGGAACTGCCTCTCGGTCTGTTGCTGGAATTTTCAGTGCCATCTGGGCTGAAGTTTCGCAGGTGGAGAGGCACTGGCACAGCCGCTCGGCAGCTCCTCTGGCCCCGCGTCGCGGCTCTCTGCGCAAACCGTCCTGGGCCGGCTGGGCCGAGCAGGAGCGCCTGCCCCCTGCCCTGTGTACCTGCCTGTGGGGTCCTTCCTCTCCTCCTCTTCCCGGTCCCCTTCCCCCTTCTCCCCCAGGTTCTCTGGCCCATGGCCACCCCCTCTACAAAACGGGGAAGGTCACCACTGTCTGAGAAGGTGATTGGGAGGAGACGTGTCCGTGTGGGCGTCACGGTCGGAGCTGGCAGCACAGAAAATTGCTCACGGCTGTCATAGCAGCTGTTTTCACCATGCCACGCAGCCAGCGCTGGCTGCTCCAGGCTTGTCAGATGAAGGTCACAGTCTCCATAGATGCTGGCGTGCACGTGCCTGTGCGTGTGCTCGTGTGCGTGTGCGTGTGTGTGTTGGGGTGGGGCAGGAGCTGGAAATAGCTATTACCCAAACTTCCCAGAAAGCGCGTCAGTCAAAGATAACGAAGGCTACGCCTTCAGTGAATTGAATCTGCATACTTAAAATTTTCCAGCTAGGGTTAAAGGCCAGCCCATCTTTACATTTGATTTTTAAGAATCCAGTGATTCCTCTTACTAAAATGCATCCCCCAAACAACATTTCATGACATCTGAGTGGGTGTGAGAATTAGGGAAGATCAAATTAACGAATGTGTGAAAATTTTTCCTCTCTAATTATGGAAAATAACAGTATTATTAAATCAGCTCTACCAATTAGTGGTGAGGTTGGACATTTACTGACTCTCCCACCCCCACTTCTTAAAGCAGAGTCTTAGCAAATGGCCTGGCCAGGAGTCAGAGGGGCCACCTGGCTGAGGCTCTCCTCCCAGCAGTTTTGAACTTCAGCCGACCTCCGTTTAGGGGAATTTCTACTACTGCAGGAAGTAGTGGAATAGCCTCATTTCTTTCCCTTTTTTTCTTACCCGAGGATATATATATATTATTTTTTATTGATTTTTTTCTTTTAGAGAAAGGGGAAGGGGGGAAGAGAGAGAAAGAAAAAAACATCAATCAGTTGCCTCCCATAAGTGCCCTGACCGGGGATCAAACCTGCAGCTTAGGTATGTGCCCTGATCAGGAACTGAAACTGAGACCTTGTGGTGGTTGGATGATTGTCCAACCAACTGAGCCACCCGGGCAGGGCCACATGTTAGCCTAATTTCTACCCAAGCAATATGTGCTGGCCTCTCGGCCATGGGCTTATCAGGAATCAAACCCACCACCTTCTGGTTGGACAACACTCCAACCAACTGAGCCACACCGGCCAGGGCCCCAGGCATTCTTACTTAGCCTCTCTGACCCTCAGTTTTTCTAGACAGAAAATGGGCATAATAATAGTGCCTCCCTTACCAGTGAGTGGTGAGTAATAGAGAACATGAGACTGTGAAAATAAAACACCTGCTAGTGTACCTGGTATACAGTAAGTGCTCAATAAATGTTACTTCTATGCAGAGGTATCATCAGAGCCAAAAAGGAAACCTCCTCAATGTCCAACAGTGAGGGATTGCCTAAAACTTCATAGCCATACAGTGAAATCTGTGCATCAGTTTAAAACAATGTAGTTGCATATTTGAGGTGGAAAGGTATTCACAGTGTATTATTATATGAAACAAATGTCGCAAAATATATGTTGATAGTATAATCTGATTTCATTTTTTTGAAATACACCGAAAAGGTCAAGGATATATTCTAAAGCAGTGGTTTTCAAATGTGGCTCCCAGACCAGCAGTCGCAGGGTCTCAATCACCTGGGAACGTGTTAGGGATGCAGCTTCTTGGGCTTCACCCCAGACCCCCTGAATCAGAAACGCTGGCAGTAGGGCCTGGCAGCTGCATTTTAACAAGCCTGCCAGAGGCCTTTCTGCATGGTCAAGAGTGGGGACCACTGGCTGATGGGAAGTGTTAATAGTATTTGTCTGTGGGTCTTGAGAAATGGTAGGTGATTTTTAATCTTCCTTTTACTTTCTTTTCTAAACTTTTAAAAACAGTGAATGCATATTACTCCCGTAATGGGGGGAGGGGGGAAGAACACTCAAAAGATGTTTTTAAAACAAAACCATATTCCAGATTTTTTCATTGGTCGCAGCAGTACTACGTTCAAGTTAAAAGCCTTCGGGATAAACAATGTGCCCCTTTCTTCTGCAGGTGACTATTATCGGGTACACATTTGGGATCCCTGACGTCATCATGGGCATCACTTTCCTGGCAGCGGGCACGAGCGTCCCAGACTGCATGGCCAGCTTAATCGTGGCGAGACAAGGTACAGCACACCTCGCGTCTCGGCCCCCACAGCGTCAGCACCACGCAGGCCCCTCGCCCCGCCCCAGTCACAGCTGATGGCCTCGTGGCTGGTAGTTAAGTTCTGCTGTGGGGGAAACTGTGACGCCTGGAGAGCACATGTATCAGGTCCCACCCATGGGGAGAATGCTACCAAGACGAGCTCCTCCAGACCCCGGGAAGCATCTGTGTGCGTGCAGCTGTATAAAAATGAACTTGCTCTGAAATCACCAGCGTGAGACTGAACGAAGCCAAAGCCCAGGCTTCTTATAGCTAGTGAGGTAGTAACAAGAAATGCTCGGGTCCCGGGAAGGCAGAGCGGGTGAGTAATGGGGTGACATCTCAGAGGAGACAGGAGAGGAGAGGAGAGAAGCACCCAGAGAGAAAGCTGGCTTTGGAGACGGGGACAGCGTGTGGCATGCTCAGATTTGGAAGCCAGCACTGCCAGGTTCCTCCAGGGGCAGCACCTGTGCAGAGCAGGACGCCCGCCAGGCCTGAGACACGCTCATCTCCTCCCAAACTCATGCCCCCCGAGCTGCCCATAGTGCCCGCCTCCTCACCAGGGCAAGTAGCTGGGCCCAAACAGTCCCTGTGCATTCCTGCATTTTACCTGGGAGACCAGGAGGCCGGTGTCCCAGAGATGCGCTCCTGACAGGACTGAGCTGCTCAGATGCTGACAGTGCAGGCAGGGAGGGAAAATATGGGCCCTGAGGAAGGCACTGTGTCCCGGAGGTCAGCGGGTGACAGGAGCAGGGCAGAGGAGGAGTGGCCTGGCTTACTCCAGGGAGTGGTCGTCACGTGCAGGCAAGTCAGTCATCTGGAAGTTGGCGCAGGCTTCTCAGTGCCCACAGCAGTCTTACCGTTACAGGCATCTGTGTTCCAGGCTGTTCCTCCCACACCACCTCTATGTGTACGAGATGGTGACAGTCAGGTCGAATTAGGGCTAAGTGGCCAGGTTGGGACAGATTTCAGCCGGCATGCGTCTCATTGGTAAAAGCTTGTTTTCTAACTTCTAATGCCCTTCGAGTGATGAAGCTCCTCAGATTGAGTGGCTAGTACGATACTGGACAGTGGGGCAGGAAGGGGAGGGTGCTGGCATGGCCCCCACCCTCCAAGGTGCTTGTAGCCTGGTTGGGAGAAAAGAGTTCACCCACTGGAAGCCACCAGGGCTTAAGACCAGACTCCCTATCACCCGAGCCAAGGTCACACTGCCATTGCCTGGGCCACCGGTACACATCATGGCTCCGTGTGAAGGACGCTGGACCACTCACAAACCATGTGACCTCGGGCACGTCTCCAGCCTTAGCTTCATCATCTGCCACATGAGGACAATGCCCCGTCCCTCCCAGAGCAGCTGGGGGTTATGTGAGGTGAAGCATGTAGTGGCTTCTCAGAGATCATCGGCTGACAGACCTGGCAGGAGAAAGATGCAGGGCCCTGTATTAGATTCCCGGGGCAGCTCTAACCAAGTTCCACCCACTGGGAGGCGCACACAACAGCAGCTTATGCCGTCTGGAGGCTGGGAGTCTGAGACCAAGGTGTCAGCAAATCTGAGTTGTCCTGGGGGCTGTGAGGGAAAATGTGTTCCAGGCTTCTGTCCTTGGCTTATAGATGACAATCCTCACATCCACATGACTTTCTCCCTGTGCTGTCTGGGTCCAAGTTTCCCCCTTTTCTAAGGTAGCCAGTCATATTGGATTAGGGCCCACTCTCGTGACCTCATTTTGGTCACCTCTGTAAAGACCCTGTCTCTAAACCAGGTCACCTTCTAAGGCGCTGTAAGTTAGACTCCAGCATATGAACCTGGGGGGGGGGGGAC